TGACAATGATGGATTCCTCACCTCCTCCATTGTTGCTGATGAAACCTCCAAAAGGAGAAGGACACCCCCAGAGTTCCTTCCCCTCCTCCATCCAACAGAGTTCCTCCATTCCCTAAAGGCAGAGGATTGGAAACGCCTGGACTTACACCTGAAGAACCCCAAATCCCCTTCACCCAGTTTGTGAAATCTGCTGAAGCATTTGGTGGTATATTGGTTCAAGATCTGAGCAAGATTATTGAATTAAATGACAAACAGCATGAAGAACTCACCCATACCAATCTGCAAATCACTATAGGATTTCAACATCTGTCAGATAAAGTTGCTGCTCTAACAGAGAATCTGCACAACTTCATGCATTCGTCTACCTCGAGGATTGATTCTGTCTCAAGAGATGTTAGTGGACTCAACTCTGTTCTCCACTCTCACTCTCAAGCTCTGCTTGCCCAGAACCAGACGATCAACAGAATCTCAGAATCTGTTCACAATCTTCAGAGATCTGCTGATAGCTCCTCCCAGAAACTCAACATCTTACACTCTCTATGCAAGGAACATCAAGAGCAAGGCCTAGCTCTTCTCAAATCTGACAGAGAAAGGTACCAGAAGATGGTGCTCCTAGAGGTCAGCACCAAAGATCTTCAATCTGCAGTAGACAAGCAACAAAGCCTGATTGAAGGACTTGCATCTGTCACTCAAACTCTGCCAGAAACCCTGGATGAAATCAGAGATGCTCAAGCCTCTGAGTTCTCCAAGATTGAACTTCTCCTTGGTGATCTTTGTGATGCCAAAAAGGGGGAAGATACCAGAGAAGGAGAAGGCACCAGCACCAGAGCTCTTTCTATCAGAGAACCCTCCTCTGTTGACCCTACTCCTTACTTTGATGCAACTAGAAAGAAAAGGCTAGCTGCTACAGGCACCAGACCCCCACCTCCTCCTCCTAGAAGCTCAAAGAAAAAGCCTTCATCCTTTTCATTCACTGATTGGATGAAGAGTGGTCTGTCAAGGCCAGACAGAGTTCAGTTTGAACAGATGAGAAAATTGATGACTCCTCTTCAAAGAGAGAATCTGTTCATGGACAGTGATGGACTTGTCCAGATCAACCATGGTGGTTCGATCGAAGAAGCTGAGATGTGGTACGGAATGAAGATTCTGACTGGCAAGAATTCTGCAGAAGCTGTCAGAAACTATTTGGATTGCAAACTTGCACCTCATTGGGCTGACTATCAGAATCCAAGGGATTTAGCCTCAATCAGAGCGAAGGTAAATGCTGAACTTGAAAGGATTGACAGAGCAGGACCACAGGTAGATGAAGAAGATCTCTAAATTCTTTATCTGACTCTGTAATGCTTTACTTTCTCTAACAGTTTAATAAGATACCATCTCTGCCTCTCTTTTTGCTTGGCTATTATTCAAATATCTGTTCTTATTTACTTTCTTGTGTATATTCTGCTTTCGTACTTGATTATTGCTATCTGATTGTATCGCACTCTTACTATTCTCCTATGCTAAGTTGCCCACCAAGATTTTAATGAAAAGTTTTTAACTTTATTCTTTTATGGTGAAAGGCACTTCTCTGGAAATAGTTAAAGGGTTTTGGCATCATCAAAAAGGGGGAAATTGTAAGGAATAAATGTATTTAGATTTTGATGATGCTAGGTTAATTAGAATTTGAAAGTACCCCATTAGAAATTGTGTATTAGAATTTCTTTTGTAAGTTTTAGCTTAGTCTGCCTGCCAGAGTTCCATCTTGCCTCTACCAGAGTTGCTCCCAGAGTTGCTCACCAGAGAAGCCATCAGAAACTGGTTATCAGAAACATACCAGAGTTGGCAACAGAGACGGACTTCAGAGATTGGACCAGAGAACCTCTTCAGACTCTGCTAAGTATCATCAGAATCCGGAAGCCCTTCCAACGGTCGTTAAACTAACGGGAAATTCCCTAACGGTTACGAACCTTTCAACGGAAGCATGGCACTGTACACGCATTAAATGCACATTTAATGCTGTACGTACGAAGAGATATTTAAAGCTGATGATTGACCATGCGAATATCTTTACGCCCCCAAAATAGCAAGTCGGAGGACCAAACGGTCAAGTCAACAGTACATGCATTTAATGAAGCTGTCTTCTACACTCCAACGGGAAGACTGCTCCCAGTATATTAATATACACTCTGAAGAACTAAAGAGATAACTTTGCCATAACCTTTGCCAAGATAAATTTGCGTGAACAACTTTCTTGAGATTAAAACTCCATTCTAACAAGAAAAGGCCACAGTTGGAAGATAAACATTCCTATCCTTCATCCAGCTAGAAAAGGCAAAGTTACTCAGTTCTTCAACACTTCGAGAGCTTCATATACTCATCTTTTGTGAAGAAGCAACGTTGGAGAAAACTGATTCTATATCAAACACTTCTTGAAAAAGAAGGGACGTCTCAAATTAGCTGGAGTAAGTGAAGTGGAGATACTTCAAGAGACTCAGTGAAACGAGACCAGCCATCAGGAAGCAGGACTGCATCCCGGGTGGCAACTAGACTTTAAGAAGACGAGGAGTGCTTCTTAAGCTCTAGGGACTAAGGCGTTGTAAACTGTTGTTTTTGCAAGCTTAGTGGAACAGTGGACTAGAGGAACGAGTTGTTCCTTGAACCACTATAAAAACCCCGGTGTCATTTACTTTAAGCTTTTAATTACTGCACTTAAGATTCTACTGACTAACTCTTAAGGTTGGACTCTGTGTCCAGCAGATCTTCCTTCAGAGTTATCAGAAAGGCATTTTGCCTTAGCTTTCTTCTAGAGGCTACCCGGACAGAAACTTATCCGCTGCCTAGTCTAGTTCTGCCATCAGAACTTGACCATCTCTGTCACCAGATTTCGACCATCTCTGTTAAGTCAGACTTGACTTGGAGAAAAGTTTAAATTCCTGAACAGTCTATTCACCCCCCCCCCCCCTCTAGACTGTTCCTATTACAAACGGGACCAACAGTTGGGAAATTACCTGAGCAAGGGAAGCAGGGGGAAATTTGCAGAGGAAATAACGAAGGCCAAGGAATTGCAGAATCGAAACCCGGAATTGAGGAGTTAAGGGCTAATTTATAGCCTTGAAACCGCCGTGTCGAGAACCAATCAGAGAGCAACACATCACTAGGGGCATTTAAGCTAGACACGCGTCTAATGAAAATACTAAACGACGGTTATCATGATGAATATGGGGAAATGAAGCGGCAGCCGTCAAATCGCAGCATGGGGAACTGATTACATCTGTACCCCGATCGCCATTCGGGGTATTATGACATTGATATACTTCCTGATGCACTCACTTCGTTCGAGACATCGGAAGTGGGGGACTTGTGTTGGGATATTGACCTAGAGGCCCAATACCCAGATCGGGAAGGCACAAGATATCCGGCCCAAGTAACAGGCCCATCACTCTATGATGAGAAGATCCAGTAAGGAGACATACCGAACGGGGTTCGGCCCAAATAAAGGCTGGCCCAATAAGAAGACATACCGAACGAGGTTCGGGCTATATATCATACTTGGGCCAATTTGACAGCATCTTCAGTACGGACCAACATCCCGTTCGAGCAACGGCCAACCAGCAAGTGGCCAGGTGCAGTTAATGCCAGACTATGACATCAGCAAGTGGAAGCATGGATGACCAAGTCGGTGGAACAACGGCCAATCAGCAAGAGGCAGCCCATGCTCTCCATTAGTATAAATAGAAGGTTTCAAGTCATTGTAAGGGTTAGATTTTCGATACTCAAGCTCTAGAATAGCATCATTTGCTCTTATTTCTTGTATTAAAGCATAGTTTCCGACTTACTGATCGGGAAATCTTTTGTAATCAGATTGGTTAATTAATACAAGTGGGTTTTCGAGTTCTAGTTAATTCAGATTTTATATTTTCTCACACACTTTGATTCTGGGCCATTCCTGATATATCCAAAGTTCGTGTTGGGCTTTCGGATCTACGGGACTTACCCTCAACAGGTAGGATAGGCTAATTACACATCCGAAACCCGAAAGGGTCGTGGGTTCACCCACCCGCCCGACCCGAACCCGCCCGATGCTCAGCCCTATCTGAATGGCCTAAATCTTTTAAGTCTACTCTAATTTGGCCGAAAACTGAGATCTCGTTTGGTAGCACTGAAATCGATTGAATCGGCTGATTCTGTTGAAATTTATGAAGTTTTTGTTGAGGTGGCTGTATTGACGGATTCTTCTGATTTATGAAAAAATTATTTCTAAAATATATTATATTTATAAAATAAAGAAAAAATTATATGAAAAATGGCTAAAATTCGTCATCTATAGTAACTGCAACCAATACAGTCAGAAAAGTAGCTCTAACTTTAGTTTTTCTTATTATCATACAATTCAGCGCATGAAATAAAAAACTACTTGTTTGGTTAAAAAGTAGGTTGATAAGCCTGATAAGCCGAAAAACAGAGTTACGACTCTAAATCCAATCCAACTAAAAAGATTCTAAATTTCAATCCGAAACAAGAAAAACCAGTTCGTATACGGTGCAACCGGACCACCTTGAGCATCATGTTTCACTCCAAAAAACGACGTAGTTTTAAAAAAATTTAAAAAAATCGTGTGAACAGTACACGTGTGAATAGTACACGCGTGTACAATAGCTATTTTTTCCTTTTTGGCCCAGTAACATGAATGATGTAACACACGTGTAAAGATATGTAACTCGCGTTATTCATAAATGTAACTCAAGTCCGTTCGAAATGTAACTTGTCAAATACATAGTATAAGAAATAAAATATTGATTTCAATGTAAACAATGAAAAGTAAGACTCTAATTACACAATTGCTTTAGGTAAAACGGGAATATATTTTGTTTTTAATATCATGGCCATAATTTTTTTTTAGAAAATATCATTTTTTGTTTCAATAGCAGTGGTTGATTTCTTAATGTAACTCGTGTTATTACAAATGTAACTCGCATTGATGACAAATGTAACTTATGTGTTGACAGAATGTAACTTGGTGGAAAATTGAACAACGATTTTTTTGTGTTTGAGATATTATTGTTGGATAATTGATACCCATATTGTATAAACTAGGAAAGATTTAACTTAGTAAATGGAGAAGAAGGATGAATAGTAGAAATGATATGAGTTGTATGAGTTCTCCCTTACAAGCCTTACATAAGGGAGTATATATAGGGAAATCCGGGTCTGGGCTTCTAATATCGGCCCGACAGACCCGGTTACATAAATGGACTAATAGTATGAAAAGCTAATCTAGAACATATGAATAATAATGTACAACAATATGAATCCGTTAAACGTGTGTAGGCCACTGTCCAGGCCCAATAGTCGGCAGGCCGGGAGTCGGGGTCCATATACTCCATCAGGAGTCCCCCACTCCCTGAGCCGAGAGTACTCGAGGTGAAAGGGAGTAGTTCACAATTGTATCTGCAACGTTCTTCTGCCTTTGGTTTCTTCCTCTTCGGCCGGGAGACCACCACCCTTGTCCATGATAGGGAGGTGCCTCGTTAAAAACCTTTACTAGGAAAAAACCCAGTGGGAAAAAAATCCTAATAAAGGGAAAAAGAGTACACCTAACGTCCCCAACATGAAACAAGGAAGGTAGGCCCCTTCCGGCATAATCACTTTTGTCTAGTTCAACCTGTCTTCATCTGACTTAGCTCTCGTTCCTGCTCATGCGTGATATTTGCTGCTCATCCAGAAAATCTGACCTCTCAATCCCCCAGTCCCCCAGTCCTTGAGGCGAGTGGAGACGAGGTGAAAAATGAGTAAAGTCATCTTCGTACCTATACATTTAACATGCATATAATTTTTTTTCATGGAGTTTATGTTTCCGATCGGGAGTTCGTCACTTGAAAAAAGTGGAAATGTGAATTGTTGATGTAATGATAAAATACTTAGTAGAGTGGAGGTGTGATCCATTCGTACGCAACGGTCGCCACTCTTGGAATGACTAAGACCGGTCTTCGTGTCTGAGAGTCAGGGCTTTGTGCCCGAGGAGTCAGGGCTTTGTGCCTGAGAGTCAGGGCTTTGAATCCTAGTGATGGGTCTCAAGCCACACTCTACTGGGCATTTGATCATAATTGCGTGATAGTGTGACATTTAACCGAAAAAATGGTTTAAATAAACATAAATATTATGAAAATTAAAGAATACTTATCTTTTGATGGGCCGAAATAATCTGGGCTTAACAGAAATGAATAGCATCCAACAATCCCCTTGAGCCAATTTTAACTCCCAGAAGCCCATTGACAATCGTGGCCCATTGCATTTCACTCGTAGTGAACAAGTGGTAGCCATATGACCACGTCAAGCTATTTCCTCCTTTCCAAAGTCAGCTCTCGCATGAGTCCCTCCTTTCCAAAGTCAGTTCTGCCATCCAAAGTAGCTGGCATTTTTGTCTTGCGACCAAGAACAGTAGCGATAGGCTACTGTCATCTATCAAGTCCAGTCCACTATTCATCCCGCTTTAGGAGATTTGCTGCAGCTACGGGATGCCGGCGGTGGAGCCGGCGATGAACCAGCGTCGCGCGTTGGAGCAGCAGGACGGTAGGGAAAGGCGGTTGAGAGGTTTTCTCACTTGTGTCAAGTTTCCTGGCTGTCTGATCCATAAGCATTTGCTGATGACTCCTGGGCGCAAAAATTGGCTCTAGTCAATGTTATTGACTGAGTCAATCGATGAGAAAATGGCTGCCAGTTGCTGGGTTCCTTCGATTTGGTTTCAATCGATGAGATGGCAGGCGCGTAGCGAACTGTGAGCGGTGACCGGACAGAAAGAGGAGCAAAAGGCCGGCGCAGCGGAGTCCACGCGCGCTCTGTTCCCAAGCCCCGCTGCTCTGCTCAGGGGTCGCTAGGGGTGTTCCAGTTGGGGTCGACGGGCATATTCTCCGCATGACGGAGGGAAGATGTCGGCGAGCATTTTCTTGTAACGCTTCAGGGGATGACGCGACCGCGGCCGCATAGCCGGGCAAAAGACGCAGAGCTGATCGCACGCCGGCATGACCTGCCGTGAAATCATAGCCATAAATCTTCAACTCAGAATAGATTTCTTCAAATCCTTCTTTAGGTAATGGAAATGGAAAGGCCGGAGCCGGAGGAGGGGAGATCGGAGAACAGAATTAGGGCCGATCTCCTACTTCCTCAAACGGCTCCTGAAGTAGATAGAGCGCATCAAATGGCTTCCCAGAAAATTGAACATCAGGGCATGGGTGCGGCTTAACAGGCAGATTGTTCTTCCATCTTTTTGCAATCTGGAATTCCAGATATAAATCTGGGGATTTCCAGTAACATTTCTTCATTTTCACTTGATTGTATTCAAACCTCTCAACGAGAGCACCATTTTTGGATAGTGTACCCGGGGTAGCTTATCCGAGAGGTTACTGCGGAGAATAACTAGAGAGAAGTCAAAGCAACAAGTAAGAGAGAGAAAGTATCTGAATATTATTCAAGTCGTTGTTTACAATGGGGAAATGGGCTGCTATTTATAGCAGCAATAAATGCTAGACAGTGACACGTGTCAAGCATCCGACGGTCGAGGGTCACATCAATCGGGGTGGCACCGGCAACTGCATGTGGCCGCATTAGATGCGGTGGTTGGATGTGATGTTTGTACTTGGTACGATGATCCAGGCGCATGTGGGGAGGAGATTCTGTCGAGGAGGGTGCCTTCGGCTGAAGGGTGTTGGGCCGAAGGCTCTCCTAACCGGGGGTCTCCTTGTGCCGAGGGCTGTATATGCCGAAGGCTCGGTTTTCACGTCTTGTTCTCCTGTAATGTTTCAGAGCTCGATTCTGTCAACGGCAGCCTTCGGTCATGGGGCCGAAGGCACCCCCATAGCGTAATGTGGGCTGCTTAGAGCTTCATTTTGCTGGGCTTGGCCCGTTTTGGGCCTGTTGGGCCTGATTGCAGTAGTGGGAGTACGTGGGCCGGAGGTCCCCGGGCCATATACTCCATCAATTATAAACATTGATTTCAATGTAAACAATGAAAAATTGATCCTAATAGCTTAATTACTTTTTTATAAATAGTGAATATGTTTTATTTTTAATATTCGAGCAATAGAAATGATATATCTAGAGTTTATTCCGTGGTGTAACTCACTTACATTAAGATGTAACTCGCGTATATAAAGATGTAACTCACGTACATTAAGATGTAACTTAGGCAGAAGAAGATGTCATTTCATGATATATTATCAAATGTAACTTCAAGAATCAAAATAAACAAACTCAATGTCTTAAAAACCTCTCAAAAATTATAAAATCGGTAGTAATTTCAATTGGAGAAAAAGGTAACATAAGTAGTGTATGATTATTTATTTATTGGCAAAAGTAGTGTATAATTATTAACGCATTGTACTTATTTTATGTGGATTAATAAAATGTAATAATTTTTTTAAAAGTAGTTAATTGATCAGTTATAATTAAATTAGTTAAAAATAAAGATAAGTAAAATCACAATTTAAATTTTTTAGAATTTTGATGGAGGTGTGAAAAGAATTGAAGAAAATAAAAGAAAAGTAAAGTGAAAGAAATAGCATCCCTGGAGCATTGTAGAGATGACTTGAGAGAAAAGAAAGTGAGTGGATTTGAGGGAATTTGGGAAAAGAACAAAAAAACATACGTAGTGCTCTTAACAGAAAGAAATATTGTGTCGTATGTGGTACAGGCATACCATTCACATGGTATGCCGGTACCACGGTATAATTTGCCAGAAAAACAACCTTTCTTCTCAACTAAAGGACTACCGGTGGGCGTAGCTCAACTGGTAGCAAGGGAGTGCCACAAGGGTTAGGTCCCGGGTTCGAATCCCGGCAACTGCGATGAGAAGTTACTATGCTAAAAATGCATAAAGCCTCTGCAAGTACCGGGGACAGAGTCCCACTCTCTATCTGTCAGATTGTGATTATAGTCCAATTTACATTCTCCCAACGTACCGTTCGGTCGGGGTTAGGAGGCCCTCACGGATGGGGTGTCATCCTTCTCAATTAAAGGTCGTATTGGGAATGTTGCCCCTCTTAAAATGATTTAAAATGAGACAAATAAAATTGGCCCAAATAATCAAACACCTTCGTATGAAATTAGTAGTTAATTTGCAAGTATGTATAAAACATTAAGACTTTTTTGCTTCAAATGGGACTAAATCATTTCTGAAATTCCTAAACAGGACTATCTATATTTTTATTCCCCAAATAGGACTAGATTACCTATTTACCCCTGCCTCTTAAACTTCCCTGCGCGCAGACTTTCTTTCTCCCCCTGCGCACACTTCCTCCCCTGCGATTCTCTCCTTCCCCTTCACCATGGACAACGGCTTCAGTTCTCTCCTCCCCTTGCAGCGGCCATCGCGAAGTCCGCGCTACCATCGCGAAGTCCTCCCCTGCGGTTCTCTCCTTCCCCTGCAGTCGCCATCGCGAAGTCCGCCGCCGCCATCGCGAAATCCGCCGTCGCCGCTGTCGGAGATGGTATTCTTCTTCCCCATGCTCCCTTTCTTCTTTGATTGTTACAAAATACCAAGTTAAACTCTAAAAGTGCCATCAAAATGGCATTTGCCAAGTTAAATCTGAAAATGCCATCAAAATGGCAGTTTTAGTCTTAAAAATTTTTGTATTTTTATTTGAAAATGCCTTTAAGATGACATTATGATAAAAATTTTGGCATTTACGCCGGAAACGGGTAGATCTGAAACTGTGGAGGTCAGCTTTGTAACGGCGGATGCCGGAGTAGTTGCAAAGGTGGCTGGATCTGAAGGGACAGCGGCTGACAGCCGGCGGAGGCTAAATATTGCCAGATCTCCATAACGGCGGATGCCGGAGTAGTTGAAAATGTTCTTTGTTAAAAGTACTTTCATAAAAGTATAAAATTTATAATTTCCATAGTATTATACTAATCAAAATTAATGTTCAAATTTTTTGAAATGACAAAGTTTTTTGTGACGGAGATAGTATATGTTAATATACAGGGGAGTAATATATGTCTCGTCTCAATGGATGGTTCAACAAATGTTAATTGATTATTGAAAATCCAAAACTTCGTACATTTATATACTCCCTCTGTCCTATTAGAAGGTTTTCACTTTTCTTTTTTGGACGTCACATATAAAGATTCTTATTTCCATTTTAGGAAACAACTAACAATCTTAATTGAAAAATTAATCATTATATATTAAAAATAATATCTCGTACATTTTTAACATCACAGTTATCAATACTAACTACATTATAATATATACCTATTAAAATTATTTCTCAAAATGTACTCAAACTACTTTATTTAATTATTATCTAAATGATCCTGCTGCTTTGCAACGAAACCTTTCGACGAACGGATGTGGTACTTTATGAATGATTGGTAGCCCGGCGCTCGGCCTATCCTACTAAAGGGAATGATATGGCTTCTTCATTACTTCCTTCATATTCCTCCACAGATATTTACCACTTGCCATGTCGGCAAATACACACAACCCATTCTGAAATTAAAAAAACCGTAAAAGGACATGATTAATAATTCATAGGAAATTATCAATTGTTTTTTGGTACATGGAAAAAGGATAGGAAATACGGAGTAATCATTAATGGTCACAAATAAGGTAATCATCGTCTCTATTAAAAGTACAATTCGTCCGGTTTTAAGGAAAGAATAAAGAGGTTTTCACATTTTCTAATCTTGTTTATTAAAGTCTCATATAATATGAGAAAAATATGACAATATATTGTGTACTTTTTGTAATTTGGTAGACGTTTCAAAAACGGAATTGGTTGAATCGGGTGATTTCGCTGAAATTTATGAATTTTTGGTTGAAGGGGATGATTCTGTTGATTTATTAAAAAAGTATATTTAAAATAATTTTTATTAATAAAATAAAGAAAAAAATATACGAAAATATAGCTAAAATGATGTTCTACAGTAATTCAGCCAATACAACCATAAAAATAACTTTAGTCTTGTTTTTTCTTATTATACGAAATCAAAAATTACGTGTTTGATGTAAAGTTGGGTGATAAGTTTGATAAGCCGAAAAAACAGGATCACCGGACCCCTCTTAGTTCAGTATGAATTATCATAGTTTGTAATTAACAGCTCAATTCTTCCAACAAATCTCAAAATTAGAAGGATTTTAGTTCCAACTCACCTTGAGACGCAAGCTCAAATGAGATTCATCGTCTTCTGCGGCTGATTTGTCTTCGGCGCGGGCGGATCCCGGCGAAGATCGCACCGTCATCCAAGCAAAGTATGCGGCCAATGCTGCAGAGAGGAACTCCAAGATGAACCTTAAAGGACACATTCTACTTTAGGTCTTAACCCCGCAGTTTTTGATTTCTGAAGTTTCCTTCTCCTTATAAATTAAAGGCTTTATGCTCTTCTTCTCAATACTATTAGAGCCTATACTATATAATCAACGCGTTTCAATGGTCAAAGACTAAGACGCCTTTTGACATTTTCCACATAGTGATTAGGGTTTATGCACCAAGTCAAGCTGCAACTAAAGCAAATTCACCAAATCTTTGATTCGGTAAGAATGTACCAAGTCCTCTCTTTAAGCATGAGACTCAATCTTGTCTTACAGGGAGTGACTTTTTAAATCCTAGGATGAATATATTCCCAATCCCTATTAAATTATTCTTTTAAATTATTGTTATTCATTGTCAAAGTCAAGTCCTTAGTGTAGTTCAACTATCATTGATCAAACAACAAGTTTTTCTCTCTCTTTTGCCCTTTGATATCTCTCTCTTCATTCTTACGGAGTATTAAATTGAACTATGATTTGATATATATATATAGCCGGTTTCCTAATCTAATTCTTTGGCTTATAAGACCGTGTGCATTAAGTAGTAGGGGATTAGGAGTCCAAAATGTTAAAGTTGGAAATTTTGGACTCCTAATTCAATTAGTGATGGATTTAATGGAGATCTAAAGTGAGAAAGGGGGTGAGAAGAGTTAAAAGTAGAGGGTGGGTTGACAAACAAAAAGAAAAGGAAAAGAAAACGAAAAAAGAAGGAAAGGGCGGTTGATGGCCGCTGCACGGGTTTTTATCTCGTTTGAGTGACGTTGTTGCACACCCATAAGGCCATAAGGACAATTTTAAAAAAATATCAGATCCAACGATTGTGATCATTTTGACATGTTTGAATGGGAAAAAATGATTCAAGGGCTGAAATTGAAATCCAACGGTTAAAATGATTTATTTTACTTTTTCATTATTTTTAAGAAATAATGATCTGTTTATTACTAATGACTTTTAAGATTCCAAAACTATGACCCATTAACTAATTTTCAAAAAAGTGACTCGCTCATTTGAAAAAGTCCGTTCCTTCTCTCTTCGTATTCTCTCCCTATGAATTTCCTTCTCTCTTCACAATCTGATATCTTCGCACCACCATACTCCGCCAAAACCACCTGACCAGCTCGCCGCACAGGCCATTGCTGCTCTGCCTCTTCTTGCCTCGTCAGACAGGTCGTCGTTTCTCTCCTCGTTGCTTCTCTGCCACGCCGCTTCTCCATCTCGCCTCGCTGTTGCGCCTCTCCATCCCAAGGTTGAGGTTCGTTGACCTTCTTTAGATCAAAGAAGACCAGCAAGAGACCAGGTGGTTCAAGATGACGTCGGCTAGAGTTATTAGGGCGAGTACGTCGCTACTGGATGGATGGAAAATCAGATCTTCTAGTGGGGCGACGGCAGGGGCTAGGGGTTTTGGTGGGGCGGCGACATCGATTGTTGGGCGGAGTTGATACGATTGTGCAGAGGATTTGGGTTCGGAAGGGGGGCTGGTGGGCAGGGGAGGGGGCTGATGGGCATGGGGCGGGCTGGTGATGGGACAAGGGTCTGTGGAGGGGGGAGGGATCTGGGGAGGGGGTGTGGGTCTAGAGAGGGGGGCAGATGGTGGCGGCTGGAGTTTGTGCGACGGTGGCCGGAATAACTGTGTCAGTCACTAGCGGGGCGGGGGGCAGTAGTCACTGGCCGGGGTCAGCGACAGTGACTGGACGGGGGCAATCACTGGTAGGGACGACAGCAACGATCACTGATTAGGGCGTTGGCGATCCATGATCGAGGCAGTGACAACAGCAGTCATTGAATGAGGCAGCACAACGGTAGTTAGTATACGGTTGGTCACTATTTAGTGATCTGGTTCGAGTCACTAAAATTGACAGTCATTGTAAATACATTAGTCACTGCA